GCAAAGAATTACCAAACCCATTAAAAAACCCCCTCAGCTTGATACACACTGAGGAGTGAGGTAAGCAAAGTGGCTGGTAACAAATGGATACTTGCTTAGAAGACTGCTAAAATGTATTTTTTAATGAATTAAGCACTGAAAGATTCAAAACCAGGAATGCTGAAACCACCTGTAAAGTACGTATATGTTTAAAATGTATAACCTGGAAAACCAAAAACCAGAACAAAATGATAAAAAGAGTTCTATTTATCACTGGAGAAAGTCAAAAATGTTTTTTGGTGAAAGATGGCATGTTTGATTTTCAGCTGGAAAGAGATGCCCATAGCCTATTCCAAGATGTGCTTTCCCCAGCCAATTTTCCCTACCTTCTTTGTCAATATTCTTAAACAAGATGCTGCCACTGATTCCTTCCCTGCAACAGTTTTGTAAAAGCCCAGAAGTACCCTAACATCAATTCCTGCCGACTTTCCCCTGTTATGAGCTCAAATAGTAGCAGAATATTTACAACATTAAGCAATGGTTGTCCCCAGATGAGGAGTCTGGTTAGCACAATGCTCAGGAATCACTTGCAATGGTTTAGGAGTGCCATGACTTTGCCATAATAGCAACATCATGGATTAGCTACATATAAACTTGGAGAGGAACAGAACTGTCAACTGTAGTTGGATAATAGTGAGATTAATGTGGCTTTAACAATTTAGTAAAACTATCACCGAGGAGACAGTCACTCACGTTTGCAGCCCTGCATGTTTAGAGAAAGGAGGAGCAGACTGTTGTACTACAATCGGTTTGGACCCAGCAGGCTGCTGAAGCTCCAGACTGTCAACCCGTGATCAGTCAGTCACAACCCACTTCCAAGTGACCGTCAAGTTCCTGGGCTCTTTCTGACTAAATCCTATGGTCTCCTCTCTTTTCGGACACTGCTGATTTGATAAAACACAGCCTCTAGCAAAGCACTCAAGAAAATTTCTCCGTGAAATAAAAAAATAAAATAAAATCCCAAACTCCCTAAATAAACCCTCCTCTACTGGCCCATGACAGGATTTCTTTTTTTTTAAAGCGATTATTATAAATGCATTATTTTCAACACACACGTATACACTCAGATGTACACGCAGCGCAACATGAAAACACTGGGCAACTGATATGAAAAGGTCAGAAATTTGGCATATTTTTTTTTTTAAATAATAAATTCTCTCAACTACTGTTACGTAACTCATTGCACAACATGCTTACGCAGGATGCTCTTTTTCCTTAAGAACAGGTACATTTATTTCCATGAAGTGGCTATACTGCCTCACCTTGCCTCATCTTCCCTCCCTTCCCCTACTGTAGGGCATGTGGGTGCATGTAAAAAGGCACTAGTGTGGTTTTTGTGGTTTGAGCCTGGCCATTTCAGGCGGAGTAAGCCCCTGACCCTTAGAGCTGGGAGACAGAAGGTGGCCATCCCAACACCGAACTCTGAAGTTCAAGACTGTAAGCCCTGACAGCCAGCAGCAATTGGGTGAACAGAAGAGTTTAACAGGTTATTTCCCTCATATAAAATTAAACAGAAAGACTGGGAGGTGGGGTGGGTGAAGAAAAGCAAGCAGCAAATCTCCAAGTGGGGAATAAAACTGACCAAATAGCTGAGAACAGGAAAGTTGATTTCTGATGTACATTTTACTGACATTTTTCCATATTCTCTCCTTTTTCTGTACTGAAAAAGGCAGGGAAACAAAACTACTGCATTATTGAGTATTCTGACAGCACTGGTTTTCTTTAGCACTACTTAAAAGTGGTTTAAAGAAGCACCATCATGTATTTCCTGCTAGCCACCCTAATCGAGGACTCTTTCAGTTAAACTATACTGCATTTTAGTTAGGTTTATAGTTTCACTTTGTTTTTGGAAAGGTGCTTGGAAGAATATTTTCATTTAGTTTCAATCAAGAGGGAACAAAGTGATAGATTTCCATTCACGCACTTCTCTTCTCCATGCAACTGCACACGTCTGCGTGAGTAACAAAGCACTATAAATGATAACCCTTCTTCTCCCACAACTTGTTTAAGATTACAATGAATTTCTGTTGCTGATATTGAGAAGTTTTCTTAATGTATTTTAATTTATACACTCTTTAAAATTCTTGATCCCCCGCTTGACAGTAACATTTGGAGATTTTTCTTTTTTTCTTTTTCTTTTTATTTTTTTTTTTAGCATTTTTATTTTAAAGTAAAAACTTTCAAACATTTTGACGATTCAGGAACTTGTAAAAGTTTATCAACAAGAAACAGCCATCTATCTAGGATAAGGTTAAATAAACCATCTTCAAAAAACTGGCTTCCTACCCTAGAATTCCTGAGAATGCTTGCAAATTTAAAGCAGGAAAATAAAATGTTAAAATAAAAACAAAAACACTGTTAAATGCTCCCAGAGTTAGTCTTCATCTAAAATATATATATGCACTTTTTGGTCTTTTTTTTTTTTTGTACGTTTTAATTTTTTTCCCTTTAAGCTTACAATGGAAGAACAATTTAGCTTTTCTTTTTAAATATTTCAAATCCCTCATTATGTCTTGTAAACAAGAGGGGCTCTAGCACCCAGCTTTCACCATAGTATCGCAATGAACTCAACTAGCCCAAAGTGCAGGAAAAGGGACCTTAGGGCAGGTTGGGAGAGAGAAGTGAGGGTGGAACACAGCAATGAACCAGCATGTATGTAGCAAATCATGTGACAGAACGGATACTGGCTTACTCGGGCCAAAGGTGCTTCACTAGGAAGTACTGCTGGCACAGGACTTTTAAGAACCCGCTCTGTGTGTCCAAGCGCAGCTGGTCTTCAAGCAGAGACTAGCAGAAACAAAGCTTTATGGATGTGTGCACGCGAGGGGTGCTAGCTAGCAGGAGCTGGAAGAGAGCATTTTGCTTCTTTGTGCATGGTGGGATGGATGAAGGAGGAGACATAGAAAAGTATATTCAGAAGGGGCCAGAGTATGCTGCACACTCCAGTTTACTAAACAAACAGAAACCTACTCGTACTTTTTGTCACATAACACTTTGCATACGAATCTACAGGCATGTGTATATGCAGCATTTCCCTCAGTCAGTCTTCCTTGTGACATTGGGTTTACATAGAAAGGGCGAATTAAAAAAAGCCACACAACTCCCTAGCCCTTCCCTCCCACCCCCAGCACGCAGGCATACACACACACGCGCGCACACACACACACACCCCCCTACATTATTTGAATCTGCTTTTGCTTCTCCCCACCCAACCCACGCTTAAGAATTAAATGTATTAGACATTGTCGCATCCTTCAATGAAAACGCTGAAGAAAGAGACTCCCCTATCCTACTCCCCCAGGTAATAAAGCCTGAGCACTGCTCCCGCTGAGGGCTGGAATGGACAGGTATGTGCTGGTACAGAATGTCGGCACTTTGTTACGACAGTATAACAGCTAGACAACACCACATGGAAGTCCTAGCACTTATGAAAAAAGTACCGCCATCTCTCTTCCCTCTTCTCCCGGCCCTCCCCCCCACCCCCGCCCCAAGACTTCCCACTTTGTGTCAAGGGATGTTCCTTCAAGACTGCTACAACTCTTTTCACAACAGGTCTTAAAAGTTTTGTTCCCAGCGCACACATGCACGCACACACTGGCTATCACTGTGGATCATGGGTCACCCCTATCCTGCCCAGAGTACTACTACACTGATGCTAAAAAAAACCCAAACCTTTCCTTAAATACAGAAATTAAAAAGCAACAGTACAGAAAAAGTAAAAACAAAAAACCAAAAAGGTGCAATACTTTTTTTTAAAAAAAAAAAAAAGTCTTTGCTAGTTATATACCTCCCTAAGCAAAACCACGTACACAGGAAAAAACACAACACAGAGAAACAAAAGGAAACATTTGAAGTACACACTGGTTTAAGAACATTCGTAAGTAAACGTTTCTGTCAGTGATGGTCTGGCGCTGTAATACACCAAGGCCTGGCACAGGTAACGCTCACCATGAAGGACGCAGAAAGGAGTTAAGCTGCATGTGCTTTCAGGAAATGAGGCAGGCCGGCCAGCGACGTGCTGACACCATTTAGTTTTTGTCAGTTTTAATACAAGCAGTAAATCAATTAAAATGCTGATTTGGTTGGGCTGGACTTTCAAGATTTTGATGGATTCTCCAAGAATGAGTATGGGTGCCTATTTGTAGGTTGGGGAGAAGAAAAGAAACACTTTATTTTCTTTTTTAAAGGTACTGGAGCTTGTGAGAGACTGAATAAGAACATTTGTCTTAGCCGCACAAAAAATGGCAATGTCTTCTTTCCTTCTCTTTTCCCCTCGTTGGAATAAAAAAAAAAATGGCTTGCATTATATAACAAACATTCTAGGGTTCACTCAGTACAAAACCCCCACATGCAGACATAAATAAATAAATACACTGCTACTCAAAAAACAACATTGGCTCCCCTCTCACCAAATCCTTTGGATATGGCAGTGTTCTGCTCTACCACAGGGTTAGAACAAGGGCTAGGAAGCAATTATCCACTCAGTATGATCTGCAGACTTGAGATAGCACCCTGCTAAAATGAATTTAAAAAAACCTACTGACAAATTTTAATCCAGCCCAACTGGATTCTGCTTCAGCCACAGGGACTCCACCATGCCTGCCTTGTTTTCAGAATCAAGACATGCAGATGGCCAGCCAGCCCGTAGACCATCAGCAATGCAGCGTTTCAAGATTATATATAGAGAGAAAAAAATGCACACACACGAACATGTGCACACGCACTCACACAGAAACAAGCACACGTGGGCAGTTACATGTGCCAGAACACACTGGTACTTATCAACCAGCCAATCACAAAGTGTTGGTTTTTTTGTTTTGTTTTTGTTTTTTTTTTTCTTTTTGTTTTGTTTTTTTTTGTGGGTTTTTTAATTTTTTTAATTTTTTTTAAATTTTTTTTTGTTTTTAAAGTGAGGCTCCGTCAAGTCTTCCCTCCCCCCCCTTTTTTTTTCTTTTGAACCCCTCCCTACCCCAACCCAACATGGTAGACCTAAGGACGGAAACACACCCAGTGCAAACAAAGTTAAAAAGCTATTTTTTCAGTATATATGTTTCTTAGCAACAACTTCCGTATAACATGAAAAAGTGAAAAACTAGAAACTAATTTTTTTAATTTTTTGTGTTTAAATTTAAATGGTATGTGTACTTGCTTCACATTGTCTTTCTAAGTTGGCGTTCATGATTCAAGTATTTCAAGAGTGATATGTTCTCTTTTTGGATTCATATTCCAAACGAAAAAACTGAAGTTATATAAGGGAGGCAACTATGTGCTCAGACAGTCTGTCAATGACCCACCTTTTTTTTCTCTCTCCGTTTTCTTTTTTCCTTTTATAAATGTATTTATTGCAAGTTGAAAAAAACGAAAAGGTCAAGTTAGTGCTGCTGCTGTTCCAAAAAAGGTCACGAGGTCAGAGTTGAAAGTTCTAAGTTCAGATTGAATCCGACCCTCCTCCCAGAAGGTCTCCAGGTAGTAAGGGAGCAGGGCTGCCCATTCTGTGTGGATCCTCTACGCTTGGGACCCCCCACAAGCTTGAAGAATAGTTTGGGGGCCCCCACAATGAAGCGCCAGTGAGATCACCCCCACTGCTGCTGCCGCCGCCACCACTGCTCCACTGCCCAAGCCCTGTTGACCCACCAAAGAGATTCAAAGCAGGTCCAACTGGATCTGTCTGGTTCTGTCCTGTCTCCAGGGATTGCCAGCCTGCTGTGGGTGCACTTGGGGTTGCTGCAGGTGTAGGGGGCTGAGCTTGTGTCAGAAAGCGACTAACCTCTTCATCTGTGGCAAACTCAGCCAGGATGGTAGTGTTTCCCAACACACACCTAGAAGACAAGATACATGGAAGAAAAAAAAAAAGTAATTAGAGCTGGAAGGTAAGGGCAAGGGATTCAGAAGGCATGGCAACACCACTATTAGGTACCCAAACCAAAGGAGACAGCAGCTTGCCACAACAGAGGGAGCACAGAAAACTTCAGCTGTTCTTGGCAGTAAAACTGACTCAAAGCACAAGAACTTCCACTTTATAAGGGGGGGTGGTGGGGAACACAGCCCAAGCCAACCAACTCACTCCCCCCAAAATTCAGTTGTTATGCCCACAACAAAAGCTTTCTAAATTTAAACTAAGGTCCTCAACATTAACACCAAGAGCAGTAACAACGTCTATACAGTGTAGCTAAAATGGTAAATGCACATATGCCGCCTTTCAAAAACAGAGGAATAACAGGTTAAAAGCCTATGAAATTCAGGATATGATAAGTATAGTTCATAAGTTTTCACCGAGTTTAAGGGCTTACTCCATGACCTCCCGCCCCCTCCCCCCCCAAGATTTTTGTCTCAAAACCTCTCACATTTTCAAAACATACCAGAGCCACAGTCAGTTCCAAAAAGCTTAAGAACAGGAAACCTAAGATCTGCAGCTTTTCAAGTAAGCTATTTCAGGTGTATCTCAAAACTGTAACAGATTCCCACACACTTGGGTTACACATACAAGATTGATTTTCATCTGAAACAATTCACAAGGTTTTATAAAATGGCCGAAATTGTACAGAAAGGTGCATACTGGTCACAATTCCATCCTATTTGCACCCTCTTAGTTCTCTATGTGCCAGTTTGAGCCAGCAATTAAAGTAACACAAACAGAAGACGTCTTTGTTTCTCTTCTTCCTCTGTCAATGAATGAAAGATTCCCGTCCAACCATGATACTTGAAATGAGATTCCAAAGCACAGCACTGGGCAGACGTTTTGTGTTCATGACCAATGTAGTGACAAAGAACAGACACAGGGACTGCTTACATGTGCAGTGCAGTCTGGGCCTTGGCCGCCTCCTGTTTGGTGTTATATCGGATAAGGGCGGTGCCCTGGGTCAGGTTCAGATGGAATGTCAGCAGTGGGCCATGCTGCATGCAGATCGTCCTCAAGGTTGACCCATCAATCTGAGGAAGAACAGCCAGGATAGAACAGATGTTTGTAACTATGTCTCCAAATGAATTGCAACCCTAACTTGTCTCAGTAATTAAAACATAATCTGCTCTCAGAAAGGAAAACCAGTGAAAGCAGTGAGAAGTAAGCAAAGGTGACAGGATTTAATTTTCAGACAATCAGTATGCCTTGACTACTCAGAATTACAATGACTTTGCTGTATGGAATCATCTGACTTATCTTTCCTGCTCACTTGTAGCTTGAGTCCAGTTTTCCCCATCCTACTCAGTTTCTTAAATTGCCACTATCCTTATGTTGGCAGGTCTTCCAGTAATTATTTACAACTTGTGCTTCTCACCATCTTCAGCTGGTAGGATTTGCACCAAAGGAACCAGAACTTGTTAGTCTCCAGCACTCTTGATTCCAGTATAATTTAGATCAACCAGTACTTAGAAGTTCTTTGCAAAACTGGAAATATCACCTCTACAATGAGGGTTTTTTTAAATTTATTTTGGTGCTCCTTTGTCTTTGTGGTTTATGAAAAAGTCAGTCACAGAAACAGTCAGTGATCTTTCTGCCAAACCCAGCAACGTTCATTCCTCCTGAACTAATGTTTTCACAGCAATTGTTGCCTACATTCCTTCTTGCAGCAGTAACAGCTTGTTACTTACCTCCAGTAACTGCTGTTCTCCAAGATGCTCTGTACAGACAGATTCCATTCCTGGTATGCCACAGGAACATGCACACACGAATGGGATCCATATGTGCAGATACTTAAGGAAGTGCTACTTTCTCCCTCTCCCTTCCCCCCCATATTATATAATACAACCTCAAATGAGGGAAAATGAAGTTGTGCGTGGGGTACGAATACGGATGAAGTTAAAATAGAGAAACTTGAAGATACTGTTCCTGAATCCACCTTAACCTTTAACGCTTCCTTCTCTCTAGCATACTGGCCTACAATGAATAGAGGATTTGTTATGGAAAAGAATTACATTCTGCTTCCTTCTCTTTTCTGTTAACTTAAATGCCTCCAAAATATATTCTTCTTCCATTAAATGACTCCTAAAGGAGTACTAAACTACCCTGCACAAGGGAGACTTAGAACTGCGCCTCTTCATCACACCACTGCTGTTCTCTTCACATCAAGTAAACCAGTCTTTTCTATGAAAGGAGCACAGTTTGCCATTTTGGGTGATCTGAAGGAGACCTTAGTTCAGGGAGCTCTCTGTCTAGACCTCAGGGCGCTGCTGATAATCATATAGGCTTTTCCTAAGCCTTGAATACAGACTAATTGGGATTGCTGAAACCAGGATCTCCACAGAATTCATTTTGAATAGAAGCAAGCTCTGAGAATACTTGCAGGAATAACCTAACTAAACTGTTTTTGGCAGGAGTGCTGGAAACATTCTGTGGTTTCACTATGGAAACACCAAAGTGAAACCTGGCAGTTACACCAGCTTATTGACAACATCCCAAAGAACAGTTTCTTTAACAGCTATAAACCATGCCACATTATGGTCATGCAACTTACCCTCACTTCTAAGAAAAATCTTTCTGTTCCAGTAGTTTTTTTTGAAACTAAGTAATGGAAGGTTATGATGGGTCATGTAGCAGAACCTGAATATCTTAAAGTTAGCTGAAGAGATTACAATAGAAAAACCAATCAGACTGCAGCCCAATTTAGTAAAAAGACATCTTGTGTATGCTGAAAAATCTGATTTCGTTAGATTTTACTCGAAGAGAAACAACTGAAGAATACACAATTTTGTATCTTGCTAAAGCAAACAAGTTCCCAGAGACAACCACCACAAAAATACCTGTGGAGTGAGATTGTGAAGAACCAGCCAGTAGCTAGGACGAACTGAGCCACCATCACTCCAAGTAGATGCTGCAAATTAGAAGACAGAGCAATCAAGACAGATTTGATATGAAGAAAGCCATCCTTCTTTACAGTCAGATCTTTCAATCTCAGACAAATTCAGCATTATCAGCCCTGCTAACACATGAAAGCCTCATCTCCAGTCCTGAAATCAAAACCACATCTTTCCTCACATTTCACATCAAGATTCACTTTTTACTAGGCTTTATCTTCGAGGAGTTTCCCACCCACAGAAAGCATCCAGTCTTGAAAAGGCCCCATGCAGTAGGTATTCCCTCCTGGCAGCTCCCAACCCTCTTCAATTATGCCCTGCAAGCAGGGCCTGGGAAACCACCCCCTACCCCCCCTCACCCTCCACCCCAATTACTGACAGTAAATTTCCATTTCAAGAAGGAACTTTTTTTTTCCTTTTACCAGACAACTGCAACTTTCTTTCCTCCAAACCATTAGTGCCGTAAAACGTACACTCCTCAGGTCTGATCAATGGTGCTATCAGTTGATTCTTCTCACCAGAGGCAAGCCTTGAGTCCTGTGCCCCCCAGCCCCTGACCGATCGGGATGCTGTGCTGTTCCATGGAGATGATGGTTTGGGGTTGGTCAGGCCAGGAGGCGGGCGGGGCAGCCCTGTAGTGTTCCTTGAGGAAATATGGTTTTTCCACATCTTGTTGGAGAGATGAGTGGGATTGTGTCCTATAGGGTCTGGGGACCATGTTGATTTGTAATCACTGAATTTTGCTAGAAGATGAAATAAATTGTACGTATTAGAGAAACTTATGAGATTCAACTAGCTGTTAACTGGACTATCACTGTAAACCCTTTGACTGCATTTGTATTGGAGATGAGCACAAAGCGCAGAACTATACAACAGTTAATTTACCATATCAGAAAAAGCCATGCTACATGTAAGTTAATCTTTGCCTATGTTATATATGCCAGCAAAAAAAAAAAAATCCCTAGATCATTTATGATAATATAACCATATGTTCAATCATTAATAAGATAAACAGCAATTTTTGTGTCCACACTACATTTGATTTAAGAATTTCTTACAACTTTGGGCAAGACTGACCTTAAATGAAACTGAACTTTCTTCAGGCCATAAACTTGGAGAGAACTGAAACGAGTATTTACGACTCTTGGTCTACTAAGCTAATGCTACCTCCTAAAGATGTCCTCCTACAAGATTAAAGCTTTCTCATGAATCACAAATTTCATACAGAGTTGACACAGTGGTAACATGTAAAGGCAGCCACTCAGCTGTGTGACAACTGGACTTTTAAAGAATCTTGATAGCACATGTTCATTTCTTTACTAGAAAGCATTACCAAATGCCTATTAGAAGTTAAGACCAATAGTGGATATGCCTAACACATTATATGAAGTCCAATAGAAAAATTAACACGCTCCCCAAACCATCACTATTGGTCATGAATATTTGGGAGTTCTTCCTAAACCAGTTTTCCTTAAGAAGGTAGACCATAAATTCTCCCACACCTTCTGACACCAAGGGACATGTATCAAACCAAAACCAACCCAAAAGTCAAAACTGCTCGAGTAATTTCTTTTTTCCTTGTTCTGTAATGAGAACCAGTCAACACAGACAGGGCAATCTAGGGGAAAAGGCGCTTATGTCATCAATTACCTTAATCATTAGTTATCTTAATCATAACTCACGTGCGTGTGTGCAAATGTATGTCTTAAGGTCTATTCACTAACAAAAGGTAGTAAGTGACTTATTTGAAACAAAGGGTAAAAATCCAGGTTTACAATATGCCAGCATGTTACAAAAATAAGACATTTGGGAATCAAGACCATAAAGCTTTCAGCAAGTAAAAGTGTGCTTCGTTTTACAGTTGGATCAGTGTATTTGCACAACAGAATAACTGTCAATAGTAAGCAGGTTTCAAGCACTAACCTATGAAAGTGCTTAAAAATCTGCTTTTGCTAGACTCAGTTTGTTTTACAGCTATGTGAATTCTAAATCTCTAATTCAGATGACCTGCTTTCTGGCTGTAAAACACTGGTGTGTAGTTTAAGCAAGATGAGCAGAAGGTATGTGTGCCAGGCAGTGGTCTAGTTTCCTCCACTCAACTATGACTTCAATAATTTTTTTCTCTCTTGGGTGTTTCTTATGTGCTAGACAAAAATTAATCAGAGGTACAAAGCTGATACATATCATTCCTTTCCCCAGGCTATGGAAGAGAAATCTTTTACGTCATTGGAATGCTGCATACACAAATACTGCTTCAAACGGAAGTCACCCCACAAACTGGCAACAGGAACACTGTTTTTCTTGAGGGCTAAATAGGATTTTCAACACATTTTGTGAAGATGCTGAGATAACCTATGAAAACAGCTTTTATTCAGTAAGATGCAAAAACCTTAAAGTTTGGGCCAGATGCAGCTCTCAGCTATGTTCATCACTTCTGCTATTTACACACAATTCTTCAGTTTTAAGTAGCTGTCGAGATTATGTCTTCTCTTGAGAAAACTCTGACATTTGTAAGAAGTTCAAAATCCAAATGGTTTGTCTGGAGCAAGCATTTCCAGCACCCTTCTCAGAAATGTGTACAGAGACCATTTTTCACAAGAAAGCTTTGAAGACCTTCTTACCAAGGATCTGAGATAGATAAGCCAGAGGACTAAAAACCCTGTCTCTCTTCACGTTTCAGGGAATGAAGAGCGCTATAAAAGGTGAAGCAAAGATGCTCCCTTCACAGCACTCCAATATGCTAAAGTTAAAATGAATAAAATCACTCACCAGTTATTATTCTAATTCCTTAACTCATACACATAGGAGCAGGTACATTTAAGAACTTACGACAGTCCCTCAGCCCCTTACACGTCACAGACCGTGCATGTTTTTTTCCCCTTTTTCATCTGCTGCTCACTGCTACCCTATTCTTTAACTTGCATAGCTAAGAGTTTTGTATTGGGGGGGTGAGGAAAGGCAGAGGATCTTAAGTCTATTTTTTAAAGCAACCACAAGAGAATTTTATCATCATGAGGAAAACTATCTCATCAGCCACTCAAATCTTGACCTCCAAGCTTCCTTTGAAATCACTGAGAGACTAAATATTCAAAGTAGAACAAGAATGAGGAACTAGTGAATAAATGGAAAATGCTTTGTCCAGCTAAGTTTTGGAGCCTGCATACCTGAAGTGCTATGAACGTTGGTGAAGGAATTGTCAGAGGCACTGTAGGGCCAGGCACCAGGTGAAGGCAGCGAGGTGTTGAGGGAAGAATTAGACCCTATCAAAGGGAAAAGGAGAGAGAAAGAAAAGAGTAGGCCAATTTCACAGAGTTTCTGTAATACCATTAAACCTCAAGAGAACCACGATTATGTACCAATGCCAAGCTTTCACGCGATACACAGCCACGGTGCAAAGGCACACAGGCTTCCTTCTTAGTCAAATACAATAGACTGCTACCCTGTTATGACAGGAACATCAGAATATTCTCGAATATCAGAATTACTTAAATAATCACATACCAATTGTTCTCTGTTTTACCTGTGGTGTTGTCCCGCAGAAGTTGGTGGTCAGTATCTACAATGGGAGATGTGGCTGTCCCCCCCAGCACACTTCCAGGGGTCACATAGGGGTCAGATTCAGGGTCAATGTTTTGTATACCTTTCCATGGCACTCCTGGTTGGAACTCTGGGACAGGAAGGAAAAAGGAATTAGATGCAAATGGGGCAATGCCATTTACTGGGAATAACTGTTGAAGGTATTTAGGAGGGTAAATAATTGTATTCTACACTGTTCCTCAAAAAAAAAAAAATCAGGCTTTTCTTAATAAAAATCGCTTTCACATTCCTTTTTTAACATATTCCACAGCACTGTTGCTAGTGCCTGAATACAAGTCTACATTACAAAAAAGTGGTGCAAGTGCATATGGTATTCCTTTGACTATTCCTGTTTTACTACATTGAGATGAGGCTTCAACAGTTTCGCCCTTCCTTAACACATTATGTATTTTTTAAGATCTATAAGATTATATAAAATTAGATTCTTCACACAGACTTTGTGTGTGTGCAGAAATCTTTCTCAAAGAAAAGCTACATACCTTTACAGTTTGTAAACAAAACATTTGACACTTTACACTGTAGGTACACAGGTGCTTTATACATCACCTATCAATATTGAGGTAATGCTCAGCTGACATAGAATCATAGAATCATAGAATGTTTAGGGTTGGAAGGGACCACTAGTGGTCATCTAGTCCAACCCCCCTGCAGTGAGCAGGGACACTGCTAACTAGATCAGGTTGCTCAGAGCCCCATCCAACCTGGCCTTGAATGTTCCCAGGGATGGGGCCTCCACTACCTCTCTGGGCAACCTGTTCCAGTGTTTTACCACCCTCATTGTAAAAAATTTCTTCCTTACCTCTAGCCTGAACATGCCTGTGGTAAAAGCAATGTATATACTCACTGATGTTCTTCATGCTTCACAATGAGACAGAATATACCTATCATGCTTTAGTTTTCTTTCAACTATAGCTCCAGGCATGCCAGATTTCTAAGACAAGAGGTTGAGTTATATGAAGTATGAAGATACAAAAACACTAGTTACTGTAAGAAAGATCAGTAACTTGATTCCTTCTCTGAGTAGATGTTTGATGAACAAATGCTGTGATCAACTTCAGAAGCAGTGATAAGAAAGTAACACTGCCCAACACAGAAACATGTAAAAAAGCTTCAGATAC